GTTCTTCGCAGCAGTTTTAGGCTGTGAGGGAAGGGGGAGCATGCAGCAAGTCTCAAAGCCTCTCTTTTCTGTTTATCCCTGTGAAGCAAGGAGAGGTCCCTCCAGCTCCTCTTTGCTGTCTCTTCTGCTATCTCTTTAGTCCTTTTTCTTCTGGTTTACTGCCTATATAAAGGCAGATCAGTCTAGCACCACCTTTCTCAGTCTGCCTTCTGCATCCATCTTGGATGGACAGCTTACCTGCGTAAAGATCTTATAGTCTTTGTCAATCTTCCCAGCCTTTATCTTTTCTGGTTTTACAGCACTGACCTCAGCAACAGCTTTCTCCTCTGACCGCTGTTTCACCTTTCCTCACTGCCAGCTCCGTACTGTCTGAGACTGTGGTTGTCTCCTTGCTGCATTAGCAGAAAAATGGATCAGTGATGCTTTAACCATACCTAAAATCGGGACGTTCCATCAGGCCATAGAAATGGCTGACTGAATGAATTAAAAGGTGAACTTCAGAGCTGTAATTAAAACTGAAGTTAACGTTAGAGTCTCTAAGCCAACCTTTCCCCAGCAACCATGCTCTGAGGGACATTCAGCACAGAAATTAATAAACTAATCTTCCTTAAAAATTGTTTTCTTGTCTTATAAACCCTCCTGACACTCAAGTCCTCTGAGGACATCCCAAAATGATTCATGCACTAGGGTCACTGATTCCTAGTTTCTGCGGGGCTTCTGACTGTGGAAATGTTGCATAAAGTTCTGTCCCCAAATGCCAAAGAAAAGAGTAAGACAGAAGGAATTCACTGACAGAAAAAAAAATTGTAATTTTTATTAGTGTGGTATTTTGCCAATGACCACTTTCAAATGGGAGAGGAATACGTATCATAATGCGATCTTTAAAATATTTTAATGCTTACTCATTGTAAGTATTAAGAAATTAATGGACTTAGTTGATCTGAAATTCAGACATATTCTAAAAACTACGATTAATAACACATTTCCTTAAATGAAGAGTTAAATCAGATGGCAGGATTACCATCTTTTGTTCCCAACGCCAGAAACTAAACCAGCCATGTGTCCTTGTCAGGATCATACCTGACCATAAAAAAGGTCAGTCTTCAAGCAGGATTAGTGTAGATAAGACATGCAGAGATGTAAGACTTAAAATAGTTTTCTCAAGAATCAGGGACAGAGATACTGCAAAGTAAAACCAAGAAATCCCCAGCTACTTCCTTTTTGTTAGGCCACTATCTAAGGCTATCAGAATGAAACCAATTTTAAAATCCCAATAACTTTTCCTGTTGAAAAATACATTTTGATTTTCTTTCCAGTTATGGAGAACCAGGTCTATCTATGCTAATAAATGGAATGTGCCCAGAGACCAGCTGGCATGGAATAACTTTTACCTGTATTACTAAACTTCTACCCTCCTGAATGGTGACAGTACTCAATCAACACATGACGAAAAGCCCAAGGGCCTCCCCTGACAATTCCCAAACCTTGCCTGGGAATCAGCGAGGATAGCTGGAGCCAGAACCCTGACAGGATCCATCATAACAGTATAATAGCAAGAACAGCTGAGCTTCAGCACCAGGGAATGCTCTTCAGCACTGTTCAATTTGCCAGTACAGATAAAACCAATATGGTAGAGTTAAGGGTGAAGCTCCCCTACTGAAAAAGTAGCAGCTTTTATGCAACTTTTCCAGTTCGGCCAGGCCATCTACCTTGCTTGTCTTCACAAACAACTCAGTTCTGACACACGTCTCTCACAGCTGCCAGTGCCAAACACACCTGGTCAGCCGATACATGTGAAGAAGGAACCGTACTGCTGAGCTGGAGCCAGATGTGTGACAGCTCCCTTCACTCTGTCCTCTGAGAACATCCCCATTTGACAGCTATCACCCTCACCACCTACCACCCCCCCCTCTTGGGATTCCCATCTTGCACAACCCAAGAGGGTTGGTCTCAGAGATCTAACATTCGTATTTTAAAGGACAGATGTGTTAGCTTTATGCTTAGGCACTGTGGTAAAGAATGCTAGCAGAAACTGCACAAAATGAAAACATGATTACTAAAGAGCAAGTGGCATATTGGAAACATTATTTATAGAATCAAGTAAAGATTAACCTCTTAAACCTATAAGGTCTGAATGCACATATCAACAAGTGCTACGCACATTAGCAAATGGTCAGGGGACCATAAAAAAACCTTGAAGCATGGCTGCTAAGCAATTCCTTTATTTCTGCCCACGTGAAAAGGCAAGTCTAAGAGAATAAAGCTAAAAATCAAAAAAATCCTGATACAACTTACTAGTCATGGAAAACATGAGTTGCACAGAAAAAAAGCCAGAGAATTCATCTTTCAGAGCTGCTGGGATGGCATTTCAAGAGCAATGCCTTTCCTACAGTGAAGGAAATAAGGAGTCCTTCCTTCTTGATGGGGTGATTAGCTGAAATAGCATACACAGCCCTGTGTGCCTCCTATGTTTTTTTAAAGGAAGTTCCAAAATTAGACATGAATATACTAAGGTAAAAGCGGCATTTTTGTAAAAGCCTTTTTATTCTTTTCAATTAGGTAGCATAACATGATGCTCAAGAAACAGCAGATACCAACAGTCCCACCACACATATGCTGTATGTATCCAGACAACACAAATGACAGCACTCATTCTCCCTAAACTCTCATTAAAAAGAGAAGAGCTAGACACCCAAGTTAAGTAAAATAAGATTGCCAAAATACCACTGCCAGGTGCAAGCAATACCTCAAGAGTGCAGAGGACATACTGGCCCATTATACCATCATGAAAGCCACATCTATCACAGCACAGCGGAACTTGAAAAGAAATTAAAGCTTGAGAGTAAACAAAAGGGGGGAAAAAATAGGTCTCATCAACCTTTCTGTAACGTCAGAATATTGCCCAATAAAGAAACATAATCATTATTAAACCAGTACTCCACATGATATCAACAGAAGGATTGAACAACTTAATTTTCATGAAAAGATAATGTGACCTCCTGCGGTTCAAGTTGTTGAAAGTACAAAACAAAATTGTTACAGATTACTCCCAGCTCTATACTTACAGAACTGAACACTGTTTTGGTTTTTTTTGTTTGGTTTTTGTTTTGTTTGGGTTGGGTTTTTTTTGTGGGGGTTTTTTTTGTTGTGTTGTTTTGTGGTTTTTTTGGTTTTTTGTATTTTTTTTTGTCAGCAGACAATAATTTTACTTGAGGTATGACTGGAAGTCTAAACTTTTGCTTAAAAAGAAGCCTTTGCTAAACTTGACAGATCCCCTGAATCAAAAGGAGAGGAATTAGTTTTAAATCCAATTTAATTCTATTAAAAAAAAAAATTTCCTGCTTCAGTTGCTTTACTGTTGCATGGCTGATGTCCCAGTATTAACAAAATCCAACTCTAATTTTCAGTGGAACACATTTATGTAATGACATTATACAACTTGATATTTGAGACAGACAGCTTAGGCATTTCTTTGCTGTGGTTCACATGACATGAGTGACTGATTATCTAGGTTCTGCACTAAAGAAGTGAAGCTTGCATGCCATTGTAAAAATCATTGCTTTGCTGTACTAGAACACAAAGCTCAAGAGACAGCTCCTCAATCATAATGTTAGAAGACAAATATGTAGATGAAAGTACAACGCGATTTCAATTTTCTTGTTAGTTCAAAATAATTCTTCATGCAAGAACACACAATACACTCATATATCACAGGGACATGCAGAACTCTCCCATTTAGGAATGAAGGATTCCATGCCAACTTAAAAAACCCTACAGTTTGATGTTGCTTATAAAATATGTCACACAAAATGACATGTTTCTCAACAGAAGTCATGTCCTTCCAGTAACAGATACTAATTTATCAATAGCAAGAAAAATCAGAGTTCAGGAAAACTTAAGGAAAGCACCTCTCGCTGCACTTGAATAAAGCATTGGTACTACACAAGGATCAAACCTGAAAAAAGAATGAATTCCGGACATAGAAGTGTCATTATGACAAATTAAAATGGGTCAGTAACCTCCATTTGCTTTGGAACCTGGAGAAACTAAGCATAACATCAACCTCAACTCCAGGAGCAGTTTTCTAGGGACTGGCAAATACTGCCACATTATCCCCTTAAACAGGCCAAAACCAAAGCTTGCTTTTTCCCCTCCAAAACAACCCTGGTGATTCATGCATGGCTAGTACAACATTATAAGGTGCTATAAAGAAGGAAGGCTGTTAATGCCTATTGCTATTAAGACCTAGGTGGCAATAAGTCACAGCTCTCCAGGTTAGAAAAAGCAGCATAACCACAGCTGAAGTTATGACATAGTTCTGTAAACTTACAGAAGCTAGAAAGGGGAAATTAAAGAAATTCTGTTTCTCAAGCCATAAGAATAATGCAGCATCCAAAGAAATCAGGGTGAACACATAAAAAATAAGAAGAAATACTTGTGCTCCCCAACCTCCCAATTGCTGTAGAATGTTGTGGCAACCAAACATACAATTAGCTTTCAGAAAACCATCAATTTGGCTTCATGCAATTCTATAATTCTCCCATCACCACACTGAGTATACTGCCCATCACTAGCCGCTTCGTAAGTAACTTTAGCTTTCCCTATTCACGTGAATAGTGTTACGTGTGTTCATGCACTGGTGACACTTTGCAAGATTGAGCACATCTATTTGACACCTACAAAAGGTTTTACCTGACAAAAAAATCCAAACTTATGTAGAAAAATTCAAACTATACATTGGCAACATGTTCTGCAATTCTGTTTTAAGGCAATAAAGGATACATTCAACATATTAGTATGTCTAACCTTAATTGGTAAAAAAAATTCTAAAACTTGAAATTTCCATTTACATCAGTGAAGCTTCCTTGCACGATTTCAGAAATCAACCCTTTTTCATTCAGATTCACAAAGGTTAGTAATAGGTATGTGACAGGTACAGCAATGATGAACCCCAAGATGTGCATAAATTATCTACTTTAAAGATGTAATAGTGTATCCAGAATGACATTCTTGCACAATCAATTTGCTGAATGCTTCTAAAAGCCAACTGACAGAAACACTGCACATAGACAACAGTCCATAAAAAAACCCAAATAAAAAAACCCCAATATCGAGTAGGCCTTACCTAGCTGTTTTTCTCGTTCTTCTCTCCGTTCTCTAGCAAGCCGTTGCCTGTCATCAACCTTTAGTGTTGTTGGATGATCTGTAAACGGAGGGAGCAGAAAAATTATTAGGCATATAGCATAAAAGCAAATAGTACCATAAACAGGCTTTTGGGGGAATGACCGTTAAACAACTCTAGTTATTCTAGTTTCAAAATAGTTCACATTTCCAGAAATCCAACTTATGAAAAAAAGATGGAACAATTAAAAAATATGAATGTATTCTAATTATCAAGATGTAGAACATTCCCGAAGAATGGACTAAGCTGTAACTCTGAATTCCAGGCAAGGCTACTGCCTGTGAAAACCCAGGAAGTTTTGTTTTGTTTCCAAGCCACTAACAACTCAATTGCTTGAGATCATTCTGACAAACTGTCTATTATTCCATAACCTCTCTCCAAAATGCATCCACAGGAAATTTTATTACAATGCACCACCCTCTTCCCACCCGTATTGCCTCAAAACCCCCAATACGCCCTATTTCACAAGACTGAAGCAGCTCAGTACCCAGGTAAAAACCAGGCTGGATTAAAACACTGCAGCATTTCTGGTTAAGCTTCTGAAGATAGCATGATACTGATCTCCATAGACATTTGCGTGCACGTGTTAAAAGCTCTGGCACACACGTTAAGACAGTGCATCACATGCATGGACTAGTATAATACCAGTAAAGTGATAGCTTCGTCAAATATCCTTGTAGATTAAGTTAGCTACACAATTTCTTTAAAAATATCTGCAACAGGCCACTTGGATCACAGCACTAAGTCTAAGAATAACGTGAAAAAAATCTGTGCAGAGCCTAGGCTTGACTATAAAAATTCAAGCTTGGTTGGAAAAATGTCACTTGCCCAGTGAGCTCTCTGGAAAACAGCAAAATGCTGAACAGCTACCATCCTACTTCCAGCCTCAGCGGTGGAGCTGTTCCAGGCAAAAAGGGAACAAAATCCAAGTTACCAACTCATCACAGCATGCTGCCAAAACTAATTTCCTACTCATCCTTAGCTTGTTCTGTTAAACCTGGAAAGCTGTTCATTTTATGCTTTTCCACTAGCACTGAAAAAGTCTGCTTTGAATAAAAACACAAGTAAACAAAAAGCCCCACAGGAAAAAAAAAAAAAAATCAAAAAGATTTCTGGGTACACAGAAGTGATCTGATTTATTTTAGTATTGAGGGGAACTCAGTTTTTAAGATAAAGAACTACCTAGAATACTGTCACTGTGGAAGTGCACATAGAAACAAGACAACAGATCCTTTTCACTATTCAGTACGAATACACAAGTAAGCAATTTGTAAAAACATGTGAAGTCAGCTTATTTGTGTATAGACTGTATACCTATGAAAAAAGTTACTAGCAAAACAATACAAGGGGTCATAAAAATGAGGTTAAAGATATATGCAAAAATAAATCCCTGAAGTGAGAATGTGCTCGACAGATTTTGAATAGTTATTCAAGTTAGACAAAAAAAAAAAAATCAACAATGCGCATATCATACTCTAACATAAGTTTGTGCATCAGGATGACAGGATTTCTTGGATGAAAAAGTACACCGATGACTAGCTTCAATTTAATTATTCTTGAACTCTCATCGGTGAAAAAGCTATCATCCCAACAATGGTCAGAGACTACAGCCCCAATTAACAGTGTTAACAGCGATGCAAAGTAAGAGCTGCAAGGGGAAAACCCATTGCACAGTTGGCAGGAAGAACATTCAAACACGATAGCCCCAGTGAAAGATGCAACAAGTGAACAAGACACCAGCAAAGACAAAGGTAATCCATCACCCAGATCAAACCTTTAACACTGGTTGGACAGCACACACCGCTGCCATTTATGAAACTATGCCTAGCCATGCCATTGATTTGTCCAATGTATGGTGTAGATTAACATTTGGCTGATGTTAAGAAGCATGCTGGCTTGCATTCAGTCTCTGTTCAGCATGCAGACACAGGTCAAAAGGGTAATAATATTCCTTCCCTCTCGTGGCTGGCACACGAGATTCACAAAACATGAATTTCTGTAGCATGAGTAATTAGTGTGAGTGGAATAATGCACACCCAATACGAATTCCCCTGGAAAACAAGTATTCCCTTCAAGGGCTGCCAGCAAAGTCAATGTAACATCGAGTTGACAGAGAATGATGAGACACTGGGGAATAATGCAAAATCCTGCTTCTTTCAGAATGTACTATTCTCCTTCCAGGTTTGGTTTTTTTTTTTTTTTTCCTTTATTGAGAAGCGATATTTCCCTATTGGGGAGAAGCAGCAATTCTTCAAAGAGGCAGGAGGGTTACACGGACAGGCAAACTGAAAAGGTCTCCCTTAAGAATTCCTAATTATAAGCAATGGAAGGAATAAAATAAATTTTTAAAGCTGCCCTCTGCCATTCTTTTTGAAGACATCCAATTATTTTTTTCTATATTACACACCTGATAGCATGCACATGCACACACAGCTCCTCTCCCAACACCCCAGGATGTTAGAACAATCCTAATTCACATTAAGTTGCAGGTTATGCAGAGTGTAAGTACGTCTTCAGTAACAAGATATTTTGCATACATTTAGGAGCACAAAGAACTAAATCAATATTGGCACAAAGACGAGGATAACACATTCCTAGCAGACCAGCATTACCTTCGCGCTCTGCTAGAAGCTGGAGCATATATTACTGGTGCAAATCTTACACTATTAAATAACATGTCTTTTCTAAGCCTGGAAAATGATCCTTTATAGTTTGGCTACAAGCCCAATCTCCAACAATTGCATTCTGAATCCAGCTGATCTGCTGACACCCGCAGTACATAGCTTCAACAGCTTCAAACTGTGGCAAAACAAGAAAGTTCACTGGGCCTGCTCCCCATTTTATCTCTCATGGCTCTGCTCATTAACAACCTGCCAGGCAAATACCCAAGGGACTGGCATTTCTTCTTATTCAGTAGGAATACCAGGACAAACGCACAAGGTACTTTGTACTCTCTCTTGCTTGTATTTGTCATCAGGCAACAGCTTTAAGTTGCTGCACAAGGAGATGAGAAACATCATTTGCAACAAATCCTGCAAGAATTCTTCAGTTCTTACAGAAATAATTGTAACAGGACATATGCAAAGCCTTACAGAACACTCCAGGAAGACCCACTTGCTGCTGTAGAAGTTGCAGTCTGTTTGTAATGCATAGCATGTGAACTCACGCTCAGCAACCTATTTTATTACACTACATAACATACAAATGCATAATATTATGCCCAAGAGGGATGTTTGGAGATTAAATAAGCCATAGCTCTATAAAGGGGAAATTAATTTTGTACTATTGCTGGAAATTAAGCCTCTAAACTGCACATGAAAAAAGTATTTTTTTTATAAATTTACAACACCTGCTATTAGTTCATAATTATTTTTAAGAATTTACTAGTTCATTTAAAAGAGCTTAGAAGCCATGAACGGTATTTTGAAGAAATTCAGCACCGAGATGTCAGTCAGTTTTGGTCCCTGATGATATTAAAAAAAGGAAAATGCAAGCTTTTTCAAATCTTCTATATAATGAATACTCACTGAACTCTTAAGCACAGATGACATTTGTAGAAATTAGGTTGGAATTTTGCTAAATTAGCAACTGTCATATGTACTTACTACATATGGCCAGTTTCTGCGGCCCAGGTAACTACCAGCTGTACTCACTATGACTTCAGAAGTCAGAATACTACTCCTCTTCATTTCCATCTATAATCCTCTCACTCTCTTTTTACAAATGGTTGCTTCCCTTCTGCCCTTCCTTGACTCATAGGGTGCTATTTTCTTGTACTAAAGAAACTAAAAGGGATATCAAGCGGAAAACAACAGCCAGTTTGTATGTTAGTTCACAGGGGTGCTGCAGGGAGAAAGGAATATAAGCCACAGCATTATTTGAAAAGATGCATTGCTTGGATCTCAAGCTCTCTTCCCTTTGTGTCTAGCTCCCTTTGCACTGCCATGCACACATTCAGAGTTGCCTTGGACTCCTAATACTCGTTCAGCCTGTAGACACCTTCCTGACAATAGTGACATTGTTTATAGTGACAGCTGTCCTTCCTGCTGCAAACTCTTTGGTTTGGTTTTTAATCAAAACACTGTGACACAAAATTCATATGCAGTCTAAAGAAAAAATAAACAACCCCAAACAAAACCCAAACCACCAGTTCTTAGGAATTCTCTCTTCAACACAGATTCTCACCAGCTTGGTGCAGAGCTAAGCGCTGCACACATGCCTGTGCCCTCCCTCTCTCCAGCCCCAGGAATTCTGCTTTCCTTCTACACATCATCATAGATGAAGAGAACTTAGGAGCAGCTAGGACACCCTCCTCAGAAACGACAAATGGGATTAAACTACTGCGGGATAAAGTGGATATTGAACACTGTCCAACCCCAAGAGTTCTTTTTTTGCGGTGGAAATGGGTAATGTTATCTCCGTTCCCTCCTCTTTTTCCCATTGCTTTTCTGACTGAGAGCAGACATGAATTCTGCACTTTGCACTGGACCCAGAGCTGCCTGGCAGAGCATGTGAAGCGTAACCTGAACACAGACAGCACTGGGATTGCTTCTCCCTGGGGATGCAGGCCAAGAGGTACCCAGTCTGGGGACAGAGAAGAATCTGTCAGTACAAAACAGCCACTGAGCTGCCAGGCTGTCAAGGAGCTGAAACAGGTGCTTACAGTTTGCCTACTCCTCAGCAACACAAGCACCTATGCTTTCTTAGGCATCTATACAAGATCACTATTAATTGCATATTTTAAGCTTGGGTACCTGAATTGCAATACAGGCAGAATTCAGATATTTAAGTGTTCTGGATCTTGGTCTAATCATGGAAGTATAACAGACTCATGGCATCAGGGATTACATTAAGCGTTTTAGCACATAGGCTTTCAACTGTGTAAGCGATCAGTGAATTAAATCCACATGACGTACTGACTAGGTATGGTGAAGTAATGACAAACATCTGCCTGCTGCACAGAGTGTATTACCGAACATGGCATGCTTTGTGGTAAGTGAGGAAATGTCTTAACAGAAGCGTATCTATAGAAAGCTATAAATCCTTGACCACAGCAGATAATTCTCATACAAGCATAGATGCAAGTATAGTGGCTTCTGCTGCCTTAACTCACTTCCCAACCCTAATTCTTAGACTGTACTAATTCTTTCAATTTTGCTTCTTTGCAAACAGTCAGGGACTCCAGCTTAACTAAAATATGAACAGTCACTGATACTGTTTTTGACTGAAACAGTATGAGGTATAAAAGCATATATTTTTTTTAAAGCTCCTAGGAAGACAGCTGGTTTTCATACCATTGAAGCAAACAGTCGTCTTATGTGAAGCACATGGAATGGCTGGCGTACCTGGTTTAGTTCCAGTGTTGCTTTGTCCTGAAGCGACTTTTTTGTCTTGTGTTTTGGAACCTTCATCTGCTAAAATAAGGAAGAAAAGGAAAGAGATTGATTAACCATATTATTAAATAACAGCTCAACCACTCTATTATAATGCAACTTAAACATTGCTGAATTTCCTTTAAAACAAGATTGTTCTGAAATACCATTTCAATATCATTCTACAGAACTTTGCATAGGAAAAACCCTGAAGCTTACCCAGAAAACATTGTAGCCACAATACAAGTTCCCCATTCAAGCTGAGGAAAGAGCCATGAGAAGGTTCCATTTTAACAATGTCATTTTGATAAGGTGTAGGATTTTTATTTCCATGCTATGCTAATGCTATACACGCAGCTAATTTTTCCTCTTCCTTCTCAGTGGTGCTTTGGAAACCACTACTTCCAAAGAGAGCAGCCTTTAAAGGTATGGTACAAGACACTAGTAAAAACTTCGTAGATTCTTTACAAATTACTAACACACTCATTATCCAGAACTGGAGAGAGGACAATTTATGACCTGAATGAAACCTAACAGAGAAGATATTCCCATTATTTTCAGAAGACTTTTGATCAGGCCTTGCCGGTCTAGAAAGAGAGAGCTCTGAATGCCCTTTCAACAACTGTTTAAAAAGAAAAACCAGAAGATTCATTATTACACTTCAAATCACAACCATGTCCTTGGCTCAGCATCTATTTAATTAAAAGCCAAGCCAGGAAATCAGGTGCCATGATTTTTTCAGCTTACAACTCATCTTCATGTGCAGCAGCTCCACTGGAGGAGTGCTTGAGCCTAGAACCCCACAATCTGGGAAGAGTCTAAACACAAAATTTTAAGAAGCCTCCCACAAACAGCTTGAAAGTATTTGCAAGCAAGGATAAAAAGACAGTTATATCAATAAAGCTTAGGGGAGGAAAAAACCCCCAACCAATTAATTTCAATTAAAACATCACTAGAAATGAAAGTTGGCAAAGACTGATTACTCCAGCTTTAAAAGCTAAGCAGACATTACCGTATTAGATCCACTTTAGAAAAATGTAATTTAAAAAGAATTTTTTTCAGAAGGCTCCAAGCAATTTCCTATGCTTGTCACCTTTAACAACATACACTCAGGCCTTCGTGCCTGAGTGAGTTCATTCCCTACGGGGCCTGACAAAAGTCTTTGTTTCCGCTTTACCTCCCTCCACAGGCATGTTTCAAGATAAACGTAAAGGATACAAGGCAGCAGGAGGGAACTGTGACACTTACTGTACCCATTTTGCAGAGTGGAGGCAGGTGAGGGAAATAGAAAAATAGCATTGATCAAATGTTTAGTGATCAAGAGCAATCTTTTGCTGAGAGCAGCTCAAGAAAAGTCACATCATCTCACCAAAAAAAGAATTACATGTGAAATTTTAAATGATCGTCAAAACAAGATAGTCCCCTCCCTGACAACTGTATTAAGTCTCTCGTGATCAATAGACATAACTACTGGAATCTAACAAATATTGATTCCAAATCATATTAAGAATTGTCACACCTTAAAGGCAGCCCAACAAAATATTTTAGTGTTTTACCATTTTGAAGGCCTCATACAAAAGATTAGTTTGACCTATAGGATGGACTGACTTTTGGCAAGATAATCTGAGCAACACTGAACACTTGCACCTCTACACTTCGTAGGATCGACCATTATCAAAACCCATGCTTTTTCCCCCTCAGTGTTCCAAAAGGGTGGTACTAAGCCTGAAAAAAAGTGTTTTATTCACCAGTGTAAGTGCATTTTAACTCTTTATATCTTACTACTACCTTAACTTGGGGAGTGGGTGGACAAAACAGACTTTCCTCCTGCCTGAATCAGCCATTTAAAACATTCTCGGAAAAAGTTTCACTATCATACATGGGGAACCTACATCATGATTCCCATCAGCCTGGCCTAGAGCATCATATAGAAGAGGAAACTTATAAAACAGTAAAAATATGGTTTCTGAGCATTAGCAAGAGCACTGATATTCCAACAGCTTCAGCACAAGTTTCTTTGTGTATCTCATACAGTGCGTGCACGTTATTTTCTTCTAGGCTTATGCCATGGGATTATGCAATACTCCATTAACTTCAAAATAATGGTTTAAAAGCCATCCAGAGAGCACGCTTGTAACAGAGCCTAGGTACACAGAGTAATACTTTTTTCCATAATTCTTCTTGTCTGACATTTCCTTGGAATATTTTGTGACAGTTAGAGTACGCATTCATATGACCACTCACATGACAATTGACAAAGAAAAGCACAGATGGCACAACCATGAATTTTAATGATTCTGGATATCACATAAGAATTGGCATATTTAGTAACTAGTGTAGGTGTGTTCCCACATAAAATACCTCTTGCTCTAGGATATAAACAGATTAAACAGACAACTAAACATCTAAAATCCAAACCTAAATATTGACAACACTGGTTCCAGCAAGACTCAATAAACTAACACACACCGGGAGAGACATCATTCAACTACCTAATACTTGCTCTGCTGCTTAACTTGAACCACTATCTTTACATGGAGGGAATAAAGTTGCACAAAGAAGTGTTAGAAATAAGAGGATGTTTTTCTGTGAAGCATTCTAGAAACTTAAAAGGTTGAAGACAGCCTGAGTAATAGCATAGATATATTGGGGAAGACAATCACAGAATCCGAGTTGTTGAGGCTGGAAAAGATTGCTGGAGATCATCTAGTCCATCCCCTCTGCTCAAAGTGGGGTTGCCTCAGGCAGGCCATACCCAGCTGGATTTTGAATATCTCTAAGGATGGAGGCTCCACAACTGCTCTGAGCAACCTGTGCCAGCCTTTGACCACTCTTCACAGTAGACAAGTTTTTATGATGTCTGAACAGTATTTCCTGTATGTCAGTTTTGTGCCCATCATCTCCTGTCTTGTCGCTGCGTGCCATGAAGGAGTCTTTATTCCACCCCATCAAATATTTTCTGATATGTGGTTCTTCTGATGTTTTGTTTGTTGGTTTTTTTTTTTTTTTTTCCTTTTAGTGTTTTTGATGTTGAACTGAAACGCTAAGTGATTTGCCCAGAGCCACACAAGAACCACACCACCCACCCATCCCACTTTAAGGAGAAATCATATGGGTAAACGCTCTACCCTGACCTTCCACTGATGGCAAAAGCTGTAAAGAGCTGCACCACCTCACATTCACTTTGCAAGGACCTGTTCCAGTGAATGGTCTTCCAAGAACCATCCACAAATGAACTCTCCAAACCAGGATGCTCTGGTCAGTTATTAAACTTTTCTCTTTGGCCTAGGTGAGATGTTATCTAACATCCGTTCTCTTGGATAACACTTTCAGGTAAGAAAAGTCAGATGAAAAGCTCTAAGCAGGGCCTACACAGGCTTAAAAATACACGACCTCACCTAGCTCTCCAGTGTGTGGATTTGAGAGACCGCATAGAAATCACCCACTGACTGAGGCACTGGCAGAATCAAAACGTTGTTTTCTTTCTGAACACATCAATGCAACACTATTATTGAGGCTGGAAGCCCCCTACCCCCCTATTTTTTTTTTTAAGGTAATGTATATATTTTAAAGTTAAAAGTAATTTTGAGCTTCGACAAAGCTGCTCCAAACTTGTGGAATAATCTGCTCCAGCTGCCGGAAATACCGATTCCTTGAAATTAAATAATTTCTCCCCTCAATTTTCAGTGAGTTTTCCTTTCATTGCATGTTTCTCCTTCCATGTTAGCTACGCAGGCCTGCATGAAATGCCTAACTGCAAGGCAGTTAACCGTAAAGGTTAATGTAACTAAGCAATAAAAGCCCAGACACACTGAAAATGCACATCTCAGATTATTAAGATATGTGCTACCAATAATTGCTTAGAAGGATAGAACAGTATAGAACTTTTAATTTAAAGGCAGCTTTTGGGAATTAAAATGCAAGTGTGAAACAATACTGTGAACAATATATTCCTTTGGGAATACAAGTTAAATACCCAAGTTAAAATGGATTTTGTGTTGCTTAAATACCTAAGTATATACTGGATATCAAGAACCTAACCAAATCACAGAAAACAATGAAAAGAATCCAAATTAAGTTACTGTATCTTCATTTCGTAATAGTAAAGAAAGAAATGTCACATGTGAAATTTTATTCCTTTAGGTCATATACTTGTGAATTTAGAATTAGTTACATCTGCAAAATAAACTGGAGGACATCATCACCAAAGCAATATAAAGGATTCTGCTGCCATCGTGATACGTACACTACATTACTGTATTTTGGTCTTTTAAGAATGTAGCATGGTGTAGAAGATGATCCTGAGTGGGAATCAAAAGCTTCTTAGCTCCTTTCTCTCAGCTCTGCCATTACTATATGGCATAGTATGAAACAGAAAACTAGCCCTCAGTTTCTCTATCTGGAGGTGGGGGAGGGAAGGAAGAAAAAAAAAAGTACCGGTACTAAATCCATATGGATTTGTAAACACTGAGCTCTGAAGTGAAAACAGTTGCAGCACAGAATTCATTATTTAAACATTCCAGAGGCAGAGGTGAAAGGGATGCAGTAAGGCTGACCAGTGCTAGGGAGGATGTCTGTACATTCAGCAATTAGTTTTACCTTGAACCAAGGCAAGTGCAAAACTGGCAAGTTATTCCTAAAAAATCAGTTTTGTGATGGAAATTAATTCTATTTACAAATCTATGATGAGTTCTGATATGTCTATGTGTTCACATTCAGACAGGTTTAATCAACACTTCTATTACCAGGATGAATCATAGAATTGTTTAGGTTGGAAAAGACCTTTAAGATCACCAAGCCCAACCGTTAACCTAGCACTGCCATCCCACCACTAAACCATGGCCCTAAGCACCTCGTCTGCCCATCTTTTAAATACCTCCAGGGATGGGGACTCCATCACTTCCCTGGGCAGCCCATTCCAGTGCTTGACAATCCTTTTGGTGAAGAAACTTCTCCTGCTGTCCAACCTAAACCTGCCCTGGCGCAACTTGAGGCCACTTCCCCTTGTCCTATCGCCCGTTACCAGGAAGAAGAGGCCGACC